AAAAAAAAAAAAAAAAAAAAATCTTTATCTTGAATTAATCCAACATACTTACTCAGACAATTTAGTAAAGATAAACCCATTACCTAAATTATATAGACCCTGGGAGTTATGTGATGCATGAGCTTACAACTACTGTGAGGTGAACATCTGTCATAATTATCTTTCTATAGCTTAAAGGGTCTGCCTTAAATCATGTAAAACAAAGAGATTAAGACTTGGAATTTCAAAAAGTAACATTGTAATTTTATAAAGCAAGAGAAACATGCTAATTAAATTATATTCAGTGTATACTCCCAAACAAGGAATGAAAATGGATACACTAACTCTGAGGTGGGATATAATTAGTACCACAGAAGCCCAGACCTGGGTTTTCCTCTGGAATAACAGAGGACACAGAAAACACAGAGAACACTCCTTTGTTTATTTGCTCCTTCAGGCAGTCATTCTCTCTTTTACTTGCGTAGCAAATATTTATCAAGCACTGCTAAGCTGGGTTTGGATAGCACTGGGGATACTGGGGTTCATTCATTATTGGAGGTAAGAACAGGGAGAACTTTGAGCTACTTGTGTTGGGTAAGAAATACTTGCTGCATCCTGCGGGTATTGGGGTGGGGGTGAAATGCATTTTTATCATTGTAGGGGTCTCTGCCTGATGAGAAGGGGTGTTCATGTAGGAACAGGACACATTGGAGCACACCGAGAAGACCAATAAAGCAGCCATCATGTCTTTTATCATAGACACCATGTACTGCAAAGCTCCTAAGATAAACTTTACTCTAAAGAAGCCAGTGAAGACTTTTCAGCTGGTCCAGTGGCTCTGGGTCCCAGCGCTACCTTTCAATGAGATGGCTCATCCAGCCCAGTCACCAATAGAAGCTCTCTGTATCCTGGAGAAGTCAGCCACAAGTTAAAAAAAAGAACCAATGGAGAAAAAATAGCAGTCTGAGGAAAGCAGGTTTCAAAAGCAATCTCTACAAAACATTGATACACAAGGACAATGCCTGGAGACGAAATTAACTAAAAAAATAAAAAAGGATTCCATACACATGATCATACACACACACACACACACACACACACACACACACACACACACACTTTGGCTCACCATCCACTGTAGCTTTGATGGATTTAGAGATCCAATAGTTCAGACAGTGACCCAAAGGAGGAAACAATTATAGCTTTCACAGTAATGGAAGACAGTGCCCTTAAAGTATCATTTTGATGGCAAAGCTCTAGCAGGATCTGTGACAAAGCACTCCATATGGCTTTTTGGGTTACAGGAACCCTTTTGCACAGGAGATCTGAAACGAGCAAAGAATATGATGGGTTTCAAGAATACTAGCTGTGAAACTCTCTGTTCAGACTTGTGGAGCTAGCTGAGAGGACAGGAAGGCTTATCCTCCTTTATAAAAATCTACACATGCTCTGTGACTACTTTTACCGATAGCGTATGGTAGAAGTGAGGTGCGGCCAGGTTATGGACCCTAACCTTAGGCAACATGAAGCTTCTACTCTGTGCATTTTAAGTGTTTGCTGTTAGTGTCCTGAGTTGCCATTGAAAAGTTCTGATGAGAACTGAGGCTGAGGCTGCTCTTAGAAGCCAAAACCACACGAAGAGACCCCAGAGGATGAGACTTCATGTGGAGAGAGCAAAATGCCAAGGAACTCCAAGGTCCCAGACACGCGAATAGAGATTTCACCTTAGAAGTAGCTGACCATGTGGAGCAGGGAGGAAGCACCAGCCAAACTCTTCTAGAACTCCTGACCCACAAATGGGCAAGCCAAATAACACAACTGCCTGAAGCACCAGGACTTTGGAGTAGTTTGTTACAGCAGCCAACAAGTAGAATCTGAAGTCTGAAGAGAAAGTACAAGTACAGAAGACTTTACAGACAGATAGTAGAGAACAGAAGACAGTGTTATCTTTATCATTGTTTACTGTTTTTGCTTCCAGTCTGACCTGGCTTAGGAAAATTCAGATTA